CGACTCGACTCGAAAAAAGAGAGTCGAATAGAGTTGATCTTTAAACTCGACTCGACTCGACTCATTCGGAACTCTAATTATAATAGTTGAAAATTCAAATTTATTTTATTAATTTAATTGATTTTTTTTTGTTTTACCCTTCTAAAAGACTGATTTATTTTTTTTTTAAAAAATATTTTTAATTTTTTTTAATTTTTTTTATATATTATGTTTTTAGAATCAGTCTTATTTGGATCTTTAAAACTTACTGGTATAGAGTTGAAAATTCATAAAACTAATATTATGTAACATTATAAGGAAAATCAAAGGAACATTTGACTAAAATAAAAGATTAACAGATAAATATTTAATTGAAAAACTAAGATATGGAATACAATTAAATTACTTATTGAAGGAAAAGGATAAATTACTTGTTGAAGAAAAAAAAATAAATTACTTACCAAAGGAAAAAGGATAAATTACTTATTGAAGAAAACTTCATAGAAATAAATGATGGAATAGGATTAGAAATTATAGGAATGGAATTAAAATTATAGGAATAGGATTAGAAATTACAAAAATGGGATTAGAATTTACAGGAATAGAAAGAATAGAATTAGGATTTACAAAAATGATCTACATTAATTTTGTATAAATAGAATAGAATCTTTCATGTAAAAAGAGAATAGACTCTTTTTGCTTATCACCAAAAAATGCCCAAAAAAAATCAAAAATCTAACAACCACGATTGCTCTGCATTGCCAGTTAAAGAAAAACTACCATCACAAAAAAGACAAGACACCACTCAAACAACTGAACAAGAAGCTGTTACTGAAAGTTTTAATATTGCACAACCTCCTATTATTACTATGGAAGTTAACAAAACATCTGACACTACACCTTTACCTCTTGATAAAGAGAAAACTAAAGAAACTGATACAGTTACTAAAACTATAACCAATAACAAAAAAGATGAAATGAACGTTAACGGTCCTTTTGACGTATCTGAAAATACTATTAACACTACTTTAGTAGCATTTGCTATGCCACTCCTTAGTGCTGAAAAATTTTTCGCATATTTTCCACTTGAAAAATACCCTAGAGCTAACTTCCAATAGAAGATCACTGTCACATGTGAAAAACTTCCTGCTGATCCTTCAATTAACATTCTCAAGGTTGTCTTTTTAGACTTTAACGAACATGATGATCTTTGTAAAATGCAAATTCCTAATATGAACAAAACACATTTTTACCCTTGGTTATACAAAAATTGCACCCTTTCTTACCTATACAGTCGATCACAGTAACTGAAATCCTGTTAGATTTTATAATTATACAAATTAAAAATTATTTTCCCGTTATGATAACATCGTATGTTGCATTATGAAAACTAGAAACTTGTGACAACGCGCTTCTATCACCTTTGACGATGAAGCCAAATTTGACCTTCTTCAAGCGACTGATGGATTGCTTATTATTAATGACTCTGTTCGTATTCATATATGTAACTAGAATAGAAAAGAAATCCAAGATCATTCCAAATTATCAAAAAAATTAACTAATCTTTCATGAGGAATCACAGCACGTGACCTTCTTGACATTAATAAAATATAGATACTACAGCTTGGATTGTTCCATAAGTAAGATCAAACTATAATTATTTGCAATATGCGTACTTCTACTTTTGTAATGCTGATGAAGCTGACGCTGTAATTACGACTAATAAACTTACGCTTAACAATAATAAACTCGAATAGACTGATGCGAAAACTAAACTATGTGCTATTTGCTTTTCATCACACCATAATGCGTCTTTATGTTCCAGAAAACGTAACACTCCAAAAGATAAAAATACTCAACATCTATATCAAAGGTTTCAACCAGCTCAATTTAACAGATATACTGCACCTAAGAAACCTTATAGTGCTATTAGAGATAATATTACATTTGCTGATGCTACTAACTCTTTGAGCTTTAATATTAAACGCTTGTAAATTCAAAATAAATGACCTTCTCCCCCTTCTTCACCAAAGAAATCTAATAACATCAGTAAAGCTACTAACAAACCACCTGTCCTAAGGTAGGAAGATGAACCAATAGACGATGATACTATTTTTGGCAATACAGTGTATTCTACTTCAACTATTAAAAATAGAATAGCAGTGGGTAGATTAATGCATGATTCTGATTTTAAGAAATTCATCACATCCCAACTTAAATCCATTTCTAGTACTCTTAGTCAGTGTTGTCATGGGACATTGATGGGACACTGATGGGACATAGATGGGACAGATAGGACATTTGGGACTTAGTGTG